TAAAATTTTAAACGCTTTGACAATTTTTTATATATTAAAATTTTTTGTTTTATAATTTTTTATCCCCCTTTCAATTTTAGATAAAATTTTATTTTTTTTTTAAATAAAAAAATCTCAATTTTAATTACCATATAACCGTGCCAAGTGTGGATAAACATAACGAAGTTTTCCTTTCTAATTAATTCTCGGGCCGATGAATTATTCCTGTCCTGTATCTGTGCATCATCAAAATTCACTTCCATGGTTAAACATCCCTACCTATTGAGGATTCATACATCAATTCTTATAACAGTTACATAAGAGAAAGCATGTCAAGAAGAATGAAGTAGTTGTTGTATGGTGGAGGGGAGCTCATGGTGGGAAGAGACTGTCAATTATAGGCTAAGTAAACAACAATATTAAGTAGGTTTGTAACACCACAATTAAATTCAAAATTTTAAGGCATTATATGCATAGGTCCTTCCACTGCTCACTTAGTTTATTCTTAACGAATGTGAGACTTTTTCACTCAATCATTCTCACTTGAATTTCTCAACATCTCCCCCTCAAGTGTGAGTCTTAGGCCTACATTCTTTCCCTCCTCAAAGATAAGTTTCTTCGAGTATTTATGGGGTTCATCAATATTTGGCTTCACATCAAAGATTGACTCTTCTATCAAGGCTTGACTACACTTATCAAGACATACTCGGATCACCACATGCCAATCCACATTAGCTCTGATACCACTGTTGACCCGTGTAGGGGGAGCTCATAGCGAAGAGAGACCGCCAACTAAGAATCAAGTGAGCAAAAACATTAAAAAGGCTTAGAACACCACAATCAAACCTAAATTCTTAAGATATTAAGTGCATGGATCCTTCCACTTATATGATGCTCATTTAGTTTATTTTTAACTAATGTGAAATTTTTTAACTCAATCATTCACACTATAGTGAGGAAGGATAATTGTCCCTTCAAATTTATATATGATTTTAGTTGTGAGTTATTATTTATATTATTATTTTTCTCATGTAGATAATGATCGCCTCGACAATTTCATATAAGTGTTTAATTATAAGCATGTTATTTTGCCCATATAGAATGTTATTAGAATCGGACCGGTTACTAACTCGGTCGGGGTATCGATTCACTGGGTCAATGGTTCAACCGGTGGCTCATTGGTTGAACCGCATGACCCGGATATATATATACATACTTAATCATGTAATAAATATTTTAAATGGTGAAATTCAATCAATAACCTGATGTAGTCTAGTCGTAATTACTATGTTGTATATCCTCAACGCATGGGTTCAAATCCCATTAAATGCAATTTTTGAAATAATTCTATTAACTTAATAGTTATATAATAAATATATTAAATGATGCATTTTATCCAACAAATGAGATTAGCCTACTGGTAAGAAGTTGCGCTCCTCACTCCAACGAGCTAGTTTCAATTCTCAGTCTCCATATTTAAAATGAAGCTTCACTAAATAAGCTCAAAAATATGAAACATAAAATTTGTTGAGTATACTATCAGATAAAAATATAAAAAAGTTTTAAAATGAGTTCTACATTTTTTTCTGACAAGATGAAACCATTTCAATTTTTTAGTTTTTTTTTTAAATGCATGACCCGATCAGGTCACAAGTCACCGAATTTCACTGATTTTGACCGGATTTGACCGGATCGATGCGTGACCGATCATTCAATGCTTAACCCAAATTGGTCCAATAACCGATTCATCGAATTTCGGATCTACCCGATCGAGTCGAGCTAAGTTTTACAATAGTAGCTGAAACCGGACCAAGTGATGGATCCGGTTTTAATAACACCACTTATAACTCAAAGAAATATTTTAATTGCAATTTTGTCCCACTCAGAACATTTTCGGCTCTGTGATTGGAAGAATCACTCCTCTACCACTGACACTGCTAATCGATTAGGCAGGTAGCTTAATTTGAAAATAAAGTATAATTTCTTTTTTGGTATATATAATAAAGTATAATTTCTGTGTTGTAAACTTACTGGGACAAAAAATTTGTTGTATTTTGATTACATAACTGATTAGTGGAATTTGTACCGATATCCATTTATTGACATCTTGAAACAGTCAAAGAAATTTGTTGTATTATGATCGTACATGATTGATTAGTGGAATTTGTACCGATATCCATTTATTGACATATAACTGTTAAAAATATTACTAACTAAATAAAGATCTTGATAAGTATCCGTAAAATGTAAGCACAAGAGTTTCACAAACGACAGCATTAGGAAGGGAACAAGTTAGAGAAAAAAAATTCAAATCAGATGATTCTAATAAAATCATCAATTTCATACTCCTAAAAGAAAATAACAAAATAGAGAACTGTTTTTTAAGTTACATTTTTTTTTTTATTCAGTCTAGAGCCTGTTCGGTATTTTTTTTTAAGTTAAAATCTATTTATATCATCCACACACAAAAACTACTTATAAGTTAAAGTTAAAAAAAATTAAAAAATTAAAAAAAAAAGCTATTTGATAATTGTATAAAGTTATTTTTAAGGTTTTGAAGGTAGGGAGATAAATTGTTTGTTATTAGGGTTAATTATTAGGATAAATAATAAAATTTATAAATATAAATTTAGAATGAGGGTATAATTAGAAAATAATTGTGAGAACTCCAAAAAGTTGACATATAACTTAAAAAAAGTGGTGTTATTACAGGTAGTATTTAATTTTGTATTGTATGACATCTTGCAAAAAAAATAAAAAATTAATTATATATTACAGGTAGTATTTAATTTTTTTTGGTACATCTTATAACTATGTGTTATGAATTATATGTAGTTATAATATTAAAAAAATAATTTATGACCTTTATAATTATATACTATTTATAATACATTTTTAATTTTTTTTGCAACAACAATTCTTATATTTTCCTATATATTTATAGGGCATTGTATTTCTTCTGCCGATGAAAATCATCTATTTTTCCTGTAAATAGAAACAAGCTGGATCCCATCAATTTTTTGGAAAAAAAAAAAAAAATTTGGGCACATTTACGAACTGAAAGAGACAGGAAATAGTTAACTTACTGTAACATGAGAATTAATTTTTATATATGTGAGGCTTCCTAGAAACAAGTGTTGAATACTTTAGAAAAGAGTGGATGCTTTGATTAGATATTATGTCTTCATTGTCTTGTAAGAGGAAAGGCGCTTGAAGCTGACCATTGTAGTTAGTTTTCCCTGGTTTCATCATAAGAAATTCAGAATAAAGCTAAACTCAGTATTGAGAATTGAAATATTGCATATATGAGGCAATCAATGACGCAATCAATGACGAGACAAAATATGATGTCAACTTTTATTAGCTATATTTGCTAATTTGAATCAGGGAAGAACACCACTTACCCCCTGAAATCAGGGAAGACTACTAGTAAGTGTTTTGGGACTCCTATCACCATTTTCAGGAACCAGAATTTGGTATAGGATCACTTTCTCTCCAGACAGATAATTACTAATATACATCTCTAGTCATGTTAAAGCTAATTGGAGTACCAAACTCCTTTGGTACAGGTGGTAAGGAGCTTGAGTCCCTTAACAGGTCTTGAGTTCAAACTCTGAAAATGAAAAAAATAAGATTTGGGAGAGTCGCCCCAAAAGGGTCCGACAATCCTCGACTGAGGATTAGTCTTCGGTTTAGGCCAGAGGATATCTTTCAAATTACTAGGAAAAAAAAGCTAATTGGAGCAAAGGAAAGCTAATTGTACAGACTAAGGATAGTAATAAAAATCTGATAAACTTGAAACTCTGTTCCTATAACATATGCTTAGCCAACAAAAGAAATCTCTTCTACAAATCAAATAACTTTTCTTCTAGATTCCATCATTGAACCTGAATGAAACTTAATTTATCAAAATTATATTACTCTAAGTGATCCATTTTATTATTACAAAAAAAAAAAAAAAAAAAAAGTGATCCATTTTATAGTCGATTAAAATTAGTTTTTTTGTCAAATGCAATAAAAAGCGTAACTAAACACTCTATTAACATCTTTAGGGAATTGCTTAGAACAGCTAACAATTGAACAATGAAAAATGTACTAGCTAAAATTTGATGGACAAATCATTTTAGGGAAATCATTTTATACTAACTTTGTACTGGGAACATGGGAAATATGAAGAAAAAAAATTTAAAAAAATTGATATACACCTTGCATTTATCGACTAGGGAATGTGGAGTGGAGGTAATCCTTATACGCAGAAGCTATTTAAATAATTTTCCTACTTAATTAAAGAGAGAAAATTCAGACTTCCACTTCCACTATCTTATTCATTTTTCCCCTGTTCGTTGAAGCAATTCACTTAATCTTTAAATTCCCATTAACTTTTGGATGGACCACTACAAAGAGTCTAATCTAGAAGCAAGAGCTTAAAACTTGTGGTTCGAAGAAAGTTGCATAAGACCACAAATAAAGCCATCACTTTTGATTTTGACTTGCACTTCCGTTGTGAAGGGGTTGGTCTAACAACGAGACTTGTTGCTCAATTAGCATTAACATCTCTTTGAAGTCTTCCCCAAGTCATCTTTGGTATGCCCCACTCTTAGTTAATTTGTCCTCTATTCACTATTCATAGATATTCTTTTCCAATATATATATATATATATATATATATATATATATATATATATAAAATTATTGTCTCATTTTACATGAGATAATTATCTCATATTATTCTCACATCAAAAGTTATTCCACCATTTTTTTCTTCTTTTTTTAATAGGTGATGTTCTCCACCACATCATGTGTCTATAGTAGTAGTAGGAGATAATTATCTCCTACAACATGAGAAAATAGAATCCTATATATATATATATATACACACGTGGCATTTCTACTTCTCATTACCTTTGAAACTTCATAGGAAGGTCACCATGAAGCCACCTCACTAGACTATGGCTGTGGAGTGTTTATTTATATATATTGTGTGCGCCGTGATCCTTTGTTTTCGTATCAATTGTACCAAAATGACAGATAGAAATCCAAGACAAGCAGATTCACCTGACAGCGTCACCAACCAGTGGCCTTTTGAACTGTCTGAGTACTTGAAATTCGATGATAATCAATGGCTACATGATGATCAAGAGTCATTTGTTTCTGAGCATGTTTCAAAACAGGTCTATGAAGCCAATGAAGAACGTGACTTTGGAGGAGGTGGCAGCTACTTTGTGGGGTCTTCTAGCAGTAAGCTTTAGTTCCTTAGATGAAAGTGTGTTTTGTTTTGTAGCATGAGATGTTTATAGCCATTTTCAACTAGTGATTCAATTTGATCAATACTATAGTAATGGATATGAACATATTCAACTATTAATGGATTTCCTATCTTTGGCTTCTATATATTTCTCTTTCGCTTATGCTTATAGTCATTGGTTGGGTGTCTTAGGAGATGCTGGCAATGGATGCGAGAAGAAGGAAATTAGAGAGAGAGTTGCATTCAAAACAAAGTCAGAGGTTGAAATACTAGACGATGGATACAAATGGAGGAAGTACGGAAAGAAAATGGTGAAGAACAGCCCCTATCCAAGGTATATATGCCTATGATATATGTAACATTTGAAATACGTATGCTTTTTTGTGGAAGTTATCATTATTTTTTGTGTGCAAGATATTCTTATACTAGTGTAAGAGTTACACTTAATTTTGATCATTGATCCACTTGTATCCAATGTCTTATATTACTAAAAAATTAGAGCCCTTAGATATAAATGAGATCAACGGTCAAGGTCAAGATTGAGAGTGTAACTTAGACGGGTGTGAAATGATCATCACCTTCTTTTTCTTTCTTTGTTTTTATGAATAGTTGCACATTTGTAAGCTACTTATATCATTAAGAGTATCTGATTACAGGAATTACTATAGGTGTTCTGTGGACGGATGCCCTGTAAAAAAGAGAGTTGAGAGAGACAAGGATGATCCAACGTATGTAATAACAACCTACGAAGGCATGCACGCTCACCCAAGTTCTTGCTAGCTCGAATATGAAGAATTTTTGGCAGTACGTTTTGTTGGCCACAGTCACTAGTAATTCTAATTAATAATGCATGTACTGTTCGTATTGTAAGGCATTCAACAGTGTAAGAGTCGGTAACTGCTCATGTACGATTGATCTTTAAGGACTTTGAAGAAAAAATATAGGAAAATATGCTGCTAGTGGTGTCTCTTTCCACAACAGAAGTTTTTGGTAGGTACTATGTTTCTAAAAACAGAATATAGCAATAGCGCCATCATTAATAATTATAAAGTACACCAAATACTATTGGTATAAATGGTAAGGAGTTTGTGTCGTTTAAAGAGTGATATCGTGTACACTACCAAAAAATGGTCAACTAGTGACGGAAATTTGCAAGGAAAAATTTTTCCTTGCAAACTGCGATGGAAGTAGAAAAAATGTTCGGGCCCTGATAGAAAAAATGGTATTGGGAGAGTCGTTCTCTTTATAGGGTCCAACAATGTTCAAACCGGACTAACACGAAGGATGAACCGGTTGAGGAGACTCAGAAAAGTAATTATAAATTACAATTCATCAAGATTAATCAACCAGCAGAAAAGACTATGAGGTGGATATTATAAAATAAAAAAAATGAATAAGATATATCAATGCCTTTCACCTCTTACTACTTGACAAAAGGATGAACTTCATATCTTTGAGAATAAGGATGCGTTATAGATTGACATCCTTTACTTGCTTCATGCTACTATATCACACATATGATGTCAAAGAAGTGACAGACAGCATGATCTCCAGTGAACTAGTTCCTGTGATAAAAAAACGACTCATGAAAAAATGACTGTTCTAAACTAAACTGTAGTAATGAGCATTAGAGGACCTTAACAAACGAGTATGTAGGAGTAGAAAGATTCAGCTGTAGACGTTTATCCAAGAACATCTAAAAATGATTTCATTCTTTAAGCAGCATAAATTCACGTTACACTGCTGCTGAAACCAAGAGGAGAGGCAAAAATGGAGTATTCTACTTATCATAAATAAATAAAGGGTTTTATTGTTTCTTACAATACTGCACAAGGCTCGTATTTTCTCTTTCTCTTTTTTCTTCTCATTTGGATCCACATGAACTCCACACACTTTTATATATATATATATATATATTTGTAGTAAATAAATTTATCTCCAGCAATATGAGAAACGTTAAACCCATAAATAAAATGCATGCTTGATTCAAAGAATGTTAGAATGGTACTGCCCTTCTTCAATGGAAAGAAAAAATCTCTGAAAAAACCTTCTTTCTGTTTTTATCTCCATTGATTGCCTTACAAAAGCTTGAAGCGTAATACGACCAGATCTAATAATGGATTCTTCCTTGGACAAGGATTGGAAGTTTTATAAAGAATGAGATGGAGAGAAAAGTGAAGACATGAAATGAAAAGGAAAGGAAAAGGGTGAAATGTAAAACAGTTGTCTTCCTCCCGTTTTAGATAATTGTGAGGGAAAACTAATAAGAAGGTAAGAGGTTGTGATAAGTTTAACATTTCAATATACCATTAAACATTTATAATCCGTACCACAATAGAAACAATGTTATTCCCTCATTACCCCAAATTAGATCAAAAAATTGAAAGTTTGAAAGCTGAAGATAAGTTTTTGAACTCCCTACTAAGAGAAACTATTCCCTTTTAATCATTCCATCTTTCATCCTCTCATCACCCTTCATTCAGAAACTGTAAGAAGTGGTTGAAAAGTGATTAAGAAATGATTATCAAGCCATTAAAGAAATTGAAAAGAGGAGGTGGGAGGCTTATGCCTGTTCCTCCCACTCTGTATATTGAGATATATCACATACTTTTCTCATAATCTCCCAATAATACCAGTTTTCAAGGCAAAAATTAATCATTTTACTCATTATGTACGTTCAAATTTTCAGAATTACTTTTCTTCCCTTTAAACCGTACAGTTTATGAAGAGATAGTGCACAAAACCGTGCGAGTAAACCACACTAAAGTGACGAAATCAATGCCATCTTGGCTTAGCTTATATCATAGAGTGGAAAGTTTCTCCCTTACTCCACTGAAGACTCAGCATCACTTAATAAATTTAGCAAAAAATGACTCATCTAAATATATTTACTCTGCTCACTCTATAATTAAGGCCACATAAATTCCGCTTATTTCTAATAAAAAAACACATACTGATTTGCTCCATAAAGAAAGCCACAAGAGATGGATTATCCAATCAGGTAACTATAATCGGATGGGACTTGGTATGCTTCTACTCAACTGGCAATGGTAAATTGGTAATTGGGCATTCAAGGTGGTAATGAAAATTTATAAAGAAACAAGTTGGCCATGAAAAGTGAAGACACAATAATTTAAGTTACATTTTATTAATTCCAAGCAGTGTTATCAGCTGCATATCAGAGCAAACAATACAGCAAGACTCTTTATAGTACAAACCTGATAGGCTTATAACTCTACTCTAGTCCTTAAATTTGGATATACATCTCCAAAATCAGGAGGATGATTGAAAGAAAGGGTCGTTTCCAAGAAGGCCAGGGAATTCAATATCTATGAAAATTTGGGCTAGCTGACTCGTATAACTTCCTGGATAATCTACTAATATGACTATCTACATGGAGAAATTTACGAAATTGGCTAAAATAGCATGTCACATATGATCTGATGGTTCAATTTGGGAAGATGATATCAGGGTTCCGAATGTAGCCATTTTCAGATGCCAGCTCTTTACCATTATTAGCCCCCATGTTATCATTAACATAAGAAATGCTCCACAGGATATCCTCATTCAGCAAATTTTTGGTAAACTGTGGGGATGATCTAACAATAGCCTTTGATTTTGAAGATGAATGTTTGACAGTACTATTACCCATGCCACTGCCAAGCAACCAACGGAACCCAGATTGTTGCTGAGCTGTAGTACCCCAAAGTAACCTGTTTCCAGGTTTGGTAAGGACACCTGAAAGATGAATCTGGTTGATTTTAAATCCAAACTGAGGGGCTTCATTATCTATATTTGTGTTCTCCATACTCTTCTCATTTAGCAGGGCCTCATTTTCCATTTCCTTTTTCTGTCTCTCAAGAAAATTGATTTGGTCTTGCTGCATTGCATGTATGTGAACTCTTTCAACCTGAGTTATAACAAGCATTGGAACGCCAACTGGTTCATAATTTCGTAGAGGATCTCTAAGCTGGATCACAAAAGCCACTGTTAACTGGTTCCCCATGAGTCCATGCTTTCTGCCATATGTGTTTGCCTCGGCCATGGCATTTTTCAACCCTTCATCATCTAATTCTGTGATTTCAGAATGGTGTACTTTAAGGATCTTCAAAATTTGCTCCAAATTCTGATCTCCTTCAATAATGCCAGAATCCAATCTCAACCACTGATCCAATCTTATTGACAGACCCATCAATCCATCAACATCATTGTCAATTTCTCCACTATCTTCTAGTTGCAATTTTGCAACTCTTTCTAATGTGGGAAACCCTCTAAGATTGGCTCTTCTGCCTCCAAAGGCAGGCATCTTTGTATATTGTGGATGAATGTATGAAGATGCCTCCTCGTTCAACATGCCAGACTGCATTCTCAACCCTTCTATCAAAAGGGCTTCGATCTTATTAATAGTCATAGGAGCTATAGCTTGTAGAGATATAGAGTTCAAGCCCATGCTTTCATCTGTTAAATAACCATATGGAAATTTTTCAAACAAATCATATTGCAATGATCCCTGGCTGAAACAGAATAACAAAAGGAAATCAGAAAAAAAATGATAATATTGTGTAAAAAAAACATGACATGATAGTAGTGAAAACACAATCTTTCACCAGTATGCCACAAACACAATTGCTAACCTTCCAGGAGCCCCCCTGTTGGTTGTAGCATCCCACTCAACATGCTTAATGGATTTGCCGGTGATATCTTGCAAAGGCATTAATTTATAAATATGATCACACAGCTCTTCAACTCCAGCAGATGCCACATGCAGCAGTACCTCCAATATATCATTGCCCATTTTTGCGGGTAGAACAACTGAATTAGAAGCCTGAATGATGAGGTTTCCACAATTTTTAGCATTTCTGAAGAGGGAAGGATTCATGGACCTCAAAAAGCCTCCACCCACAGTTTGAACAAATGAACCAAGTCCTTGTCCAATTGAAGGTAATATGGATGATTCTTGATCACATAGTTCAATTGGACTTCCAAATCCACCAGACCAAGTCACGGGAGAATTTTCAAAGTCCCTCTCATTTAAACCCCATTGTTGCATCAATGAGTCAGTCTCCAGATCTTCAAGAATTTTGGCCTTCCTTCGCTGTATTAATGACTGATTCGCCCTTGCATGCTCCTCTTCAGCAGCTTGAATAATTAAGGACAAATCAGAATCCACAGCACAATCCCCACAGCTATATCCAAAGGTATCTGTCTCTAATTCCTTCTCATTTGCATCAAAATCTAAAGCAAAGTTACCTGAAGCTAGAGCCTCTTTTTCAAACTGTCTTAAAAGCTGCTCTCTGGGAGACTGGGGATCACCATCACTAGTTGAGCCAAATGAGCCACTCTCCATGGCCAGCATGTTTAAGAAATCACTTGCAACAGATTCTGTGATATCGTCAAGGCTATGTGACTTTTTTTCCATTTTATGTGCTTTATAATTTGATTTAACACTCAGGTAGTGTTCTTGGCCAAGAAACTCTGATGTCTCAGAAACTGTATCCGCAACCTTCACACAAGGTAGATTGACACCTGAACTACTGCATATGTATTTGCTGTCATCTTCCACGGCCCCATTCACACAACTAGCACATATGTTATCCATTGAATCACATCTTGTGTTCTTGTCGACAAATATGTCGTCATCCTTGATAATCTCATTCATATTAATGATTTCAACTGTTGACACATCAACTGTTTGAATTCCTGTCTGATCAAGTTGCAAGGAACCCCCTTCCAGCGTTTCTACTCCTTGTTCAATAATGGAAAATTCAGTTTCTTCAGACTCCTGTTGGTTTGATTCTTGAGCTGACACTGGTTTCAGAAGAATTTGGGATTTAAGTGGTCCCAAATGTTCCGAGTCTACCTGTGATGAATTATGGAAGTTACCCTCATCAAGTTTTTGATATAGGAAACTGATTGATTTAGAGAAACCCAAGCCAGAATTCAGCAATGCCTCATGGGATAACTTTACATCATTAGAATAAGAAGGGAGGACCAATCCGTTATGTAGTTCACGTGGAAAGCTCCCAGTCTGCCAAAGCTTTACATCACTATTGCTAGGACTAAAATCCACAACATTTTCTGTGCTGTGTGGTCCACCTGGCTTCAAGTTAACAAGGTTGAGAACTTTCGGATCATTACCACCAAATTCCATTAACTCGTCCTTCATTACTTGATAACTAAAACTAGCATTTAGGGTAGCTCCTACAGCCTTTCCTGCCAACCTAAAACTTGTGCTCCATTTCCCTGAACTTTTATCACCCCTTAACTCTTCAAAAGTCAGAGGTAAAAGCAGTGTGAGATCTACTTGATGATTCCCCATGTCATGATCAGGTGCCCCAACAATAGAAGCATAAATCAAGAAACGCTTAGACTCATACTTGACAGAGTGACTAGACCCGGCACGGCTACCATAAACAGAACAGATATGTGTCAAAGTTTCACCAAACTCCACAGCACCCTGGAAAACCCTTGACGGGGGCGTCTGTAAAATGCTGCTTTTCCTTTTCCAATGCACACATAAACTCATGTCATTGAAATTCGAAGGCAACCCCTCAATTGAGTGAACATGAAGATTAAAGCAACAATTGAACTTTCGATGACCAATATGGGCTAAAGCTTTCAAGGGCTTCTTCCAATTCCATGTTGAAGACAACTTCTTGTCCTTGGGCAATAGATCTTCCCTTTGAAATCTAGGGGTTAAGTTATCTTGAGGTTTTGACAAACGGGATCTTCCAGCAGACTTGGATCGATTACGAGCTGAGGAGAAGGAAGCCTTAGAAGGGGTATTGTGCAAGTAAAGAGCTTTGCTTATTTCTTCAATGTCATGCAGTAATAGCTGACCATTATTCCAATCAGTTTCTCCATCACCATCAGCTTCTTGGTTTCCATGATCAAACTTGGATTTCATCATCATGTTGGCATTTAAAATTGAACAGTAAATGGGAAGAAAAAAACCCAACAAATTTGATCAGCTCATCATACTAGCAGTGCCACTGATGAAGCAATTCAGGATATCTGTAATCTTTAACAAATCAGATACATTAAAATGTAATCAGATAACTCAGAAGTCAAAAATCAGAAAGGAAACAATAGAGGGAAAACAAAAGAGAAAGAGACAAGTGGTGAGAGGAAGCAATCAAAGACATAATCGAATTCATCATCTAGCTCCTATAAAAGATCAAAACACAGCAAGCAACAATTTTGAGAACAACCAATTGTAATAATTCCATAAAATAAGTAACAAAATTTACATGATTGTAAGATTAATCTGCAAGCAACAAAGGAAAGGAAAGTAGCAGCTACATTACTGAAAATGAAATAACATACTTACTGAACAGAGGAATTGCAATTACGGGCTATGCAAATTCTTTGAGAAAATATAGATGATGGGACAAGGATTGTGATTTGTAACAAAATAGAGTGATTGCTTTGACTTCGAATTATGCTATGCTTCCTTGGTGAGCCGTGCCGCCCAACCAGATTATTATTGTTTTATTTAGGTCGGAGAAAACCTCAAATTTGTCTTTTATGAAAATTTTGACTACTAGACACGTTAGTTTGAAATAAATTACAAATTTCATTTCTTTTTTTAAGAATTAATATGTTCAGTGTACGACTAATCTGACTAATATTTATAATTTTTAAAAATCAGAATAAGATTTTGATATGTGTCCTTGACTCTCTTGCGTGTCATCTTTCCTTATTTTTTTTTCTTTAACGACATTTAACTTTGAATGAAAATAATTGTTTTATTAATTAGTGTTCAGTTAAAGAGAGAAAAGAGCAACAAATCATAGAGGGAAAAAAAAAGTCAAGTACAAACTCACAAATTAAAATCTAACGTTCAAAAGATGAAAAGTTGATAATGTAATAATCCATGACGACTCTCACCAAAACTCAAGAAAAAAAAAAGTAAATGAGTGAAAAAAAAAACATGACATGGTCATGTGAGAAGATCACAATCATACAAAAGTAAATTAATGGTTATAATTTTGTAATTATCTATTTTAACATTTTTTTCCTTTTCTCCTTTATTACCATTGATTTACCTTTCACACAAGAGGATCTAGATCAAAAAAAAAGAAAAAGAAAAATGAAAGAAAAGTAAAGTAGGAGAGAGAGAGAGAAAGTAGATCTTTTGTATTCGATGAATCATACTTATATTAATAGCGTTCTTTGCAATGACTTGGCAACAAATTAATCACAGCCACTTATAACAAAACACATCTTTATTAACTTTACTAACTGATAAGATAATCTCTTTAGAAAGAAGATCTTTTGTCTTATGGTAGCCTGCTCCAGTTCCCTTACGAAACTTCCGTTATTGGGTTAGCCATACACTTCACATGTTTCTAGCGATTCACATGGCATTATCAAATTATACAAGTCTTGGATAAGAATCTACAACGCACTAGAACGCCCCTGTTGACGATCCTTTACTCCGACAGCATCTAGGGTTCCTCGAACAATGTGATATCTCACACCGGGTAAATCCTTAACCCTTCCCCCTCTTATTAGGACTACAGAATGTTCTTGTAAATTATGGCCAATACCGGGTATATAAGCAGTGATCTCAAATCCAGAGGTTAAGCGTACTCTGGCAACTTTACGTAAGGCAGAGTTATGTTTTTTGGGGGTGATAATGGAAAAGTTGACAGATAAGTCACCCTTACTGCCACTCTACAGAACCGTACATGAGATTTTCATCGCATACGGCTCCTCGTTCAATTCTTTCGAAGTCATTGGATCCTTTTCCTCGTTCGAGAATCTCCCTCTTCTTCCACTCTATCCCGAAAAGTAACTAGGACCAATTCAGTCACGTTTTCATGTTCCAATTGAACACTTTCCTTTTTTTATTATTCTCAAAGGAGAAGATTATTCTTTTTACCAAACCTATGTGGATCCAATCACGATCTTATAATAAGAACAATAAATATTTCTCGATCAATCCTTTTGCCCCCCCCCCCCCCCTTCTTTTCTTCGAGAATCAGAAAGATCCTTTTCAATCAAGTTTGAATTTGTTCGTTTGGAATCTGGACTCTTCTACTGCATTTTTATTTACTTCTTATTATTTTTCTTTTTTGATTTCTTTTTTCTTCCATCATTCCTTAAGTCCTATAGGTTTGATCCTGTAGAATCTGACCCATTTTCTCATTGAGCGAACGATACGAAATAAATCAGATGGATTTTTCGATCCAAAGTACTATGTGAAATCTTCAGTTTTTTCCTCTTTCTCTATCCCCATCTCGTAGGTATAGTGTTTGAATCAATAAAGAACCCTTTCTTCTGTATCTGTATGAATCGAGATTCTTACATTCCAATTCCAATTCCTTCCCGATTCCAACCACAGGTGGTGCATGGCTGTCGTCAGCGCGTGTCGTAAGGTGTTGGGTTAAGTCCTGCAACGAGCGCAACCCTCGTGTTTAGTTGCCAACGTTGAGTGTAGAACCCTGAGCAGACTGCCGGTGATAAGCTGGAGGA